TATATGTGTAGTGAGATATTGTTGTATTGATACAGCTACTGTTGTAGTATATGTGTAGTGAGATATTGTTGTATTGATACAGCTACTGTTGTAGTATATGTGTAGTGAGATATTGTTGTATTGATACAGCTACTGTTGTAGTATATGTGTAGTGAGATATTGTTCTATTCATATAGTTGTTCCAGCTAGTATAGTTGGAGCTACACTGGTTGCCCAAGCTCTGGAAGGACTTCATATTCAGAGGTAGGTAAATGTTACATTTTGTAGAAGTTTCATATTACTAATTCTTATACACCTGAATAAAACAAATTAAAAGATTTAAAATCTTTTCTACCTTCTCTGCATGATTGTGTTTTACACACGGTTTCAGCTGGTCCCACAACTACTATGAGTTCAACACTCATAAATGCTCTCTTGATGTATTAATCTCTTTTATTGATATAAGTGTTATTGAAGGTTTATTATTATCAAGGTCTTTGCTAGTTTACTAATCTGTATGTTTAAACTTAAGTTTTATGTGAGCAATTACTTGAAAAACTGTATAAATGACCATTTCAGGTGGTGGCTGACAATAGGAACAAATTTTTTTTACTCGTTTACCTCTTCAGCAACCATTATTCTTACAGTAAGTAACACTGCAATGATATTATTCATCCAGTAAAACTTGTATGATATTTATGTAGTAACATTTTTTTTGTGGTTTATAGTAACTGCAGTAGAAAGGCTGCACTTCAGTAAAAGTTTCTTCACTCGTAAAATTAGTTTTATTTTGTGATATCGTAGTTGTCAAAGTAGAGAACGGCTTGCTTTCTACGTGAACAAATGTTGAAAGTCTTTTTTAAGTAGTGCATAATGTTTATTAAAGTTCTTAATAGTAACCTTTATGAAGATAATCACTTTAGAAACTTAGTAGGATTCAAAAACTCAGAAACATTTACATGTGAAATCTATTGAAAAAGTCATACTGAATAATCAGCTAGTTATTATATTTGAATTCGAAAATTACTTATCCCAAGCTAATTCAAACTTTTTCCAGCTACACATCTTACTCTATATGATCTTGAAAGCAAAGTTGAAAGAACAAGAAAAATTAGGTTTACTGATGCTGAAAAAAATCATATTAGGTAAGTTCTTTTCAGCTATAGACGGTAGCTGTTAATTGGAGGATTACACACAAAAAGAACACAAGTCTTTGTAGATCAATGTTGACTGGAGGGTTACACAAAAATGAATACTAGTTTTTGTAGCTCAATGTTGACTGGAGGGTTACACAAAAAGAACACAAGTCTTTGTAGCTTAATGTTGACTGGAGGATTACACAAAAAGAACACAAGTCTTTGTAGCTTAATGTTGACTGGAGGATTACACAAAAAACACAAGTCTTTGTAGCTCAATGTTTACTTGAGGATTACACAAAAATGAATACTAGTTTTTGTAGCTCAATGTTGACTGGAGGATTACACAAAAAGAACACAAGTCTTTGTAGCTCAATGTTGACTGGAGGATTACACAAAAAGAACACAAGTCTTTGTAGCTCAATGTTTACTTGAGGATTACACAAAAAAGAATACTAGTTTGTAGCTCAATGTTGACTAGAGGATTACACAAAACGAATAATAGTTTTTGTAGGTCAGTGTTGACTGGAGAATTACACTAAGAGAACGCAAGTCTGTAGCCCAATTTCTTAGTTTTTAAAAGTTTTCATAAATGTAATTTTTGCATTTTGTTTTAATTTGATGTATAAGTTGTTACTTTTCTAAAACATAAAAAAAATGTTGGAATAGCATTAGCTTTGTAGTTTATGCTTTATAGTTAATCTGTATATATAACTTTATAACCACACACACCTACACCAGGGCCCGGGGAGTGGGGAGGTGCACATGCCCCTGCCATCCCCAATTTCTCACAAGGCTACACAAAAGGTAATTGCACATAGCCATCCCTAATTTTCTCACAAGGCTACACAAGAGGTAATTGCACATAGCCATCCCTAATTTTCTCACAAGGCTACACAAGATGTAATTGCACATAGCCATCCCTAATTTTCTCACAAGGCTACACAAGAGGTAATTGTCATCCCTAATTTTCTCACAAGGCTACACAAGATGTAATTGCACATAGCCATCCCTAATTTTCTCACACGGCTACTCAAAAGGTAATTGCACATAGCCA